CATGCAAGTCCAGGAAGCACAGAAAGTCCCAATCAAGATGGATACAAAGAGGCCCACTCCAAGACACATCATAATTAAAATGCCAAAGGTTAAAGATAAAGAGAGAATGATAGAAGCAGAAAGAGAAAAGCAGTTAGCTACCTACAGGGGGATTTTCATAAGACTGTCAGCTGATTTCTCAAAAGAAACTTTGCAGGCTAAAGGGACTGGCAAGAAATATTCAAAGTCATGAAATGTAGGGACCTACAGCCAAGATTGCTCTACCCAGCAAAGCCATCATTTAGAATCAAAGGACAAATAAAGAGCTTCCCAGACAAGAAATAAGTAAAGGAATTCATCATCGCCCAACATTATTATATGAAATGTTAAAGGGACTTATTTAAGAAAAGACTAAAATTATGAACAATAAAATGGCAAAAAATACGTATCTATCAACAATCGAATCTAAAAAAGAAACTAAGCAAACATGAAGGATACAGAAACAGAAGCGTGCATACAGAGAGTGTTTGATGGTTGCCAGATGTGAGGGAAGCAGGGAAGGATTGGTGAAGAGGTGAGGGGATTAAGAAATGCAAACAGGTAGGCACAGAATAGCCATGGGGATGTAAGATACAGCAGAGGAAGTGGAGCGGCCAAAGACCTTATAGGCATGACCCATGGACGTGAACAATGGTGGTGGGACTGCCTGAGGGAGTGGGGAATGTTGAGTGAAGTGGGGTCAAAAAGGAAAAATCAGGACAACTATAATAGTATAATCAATAAAATGTAACTAAAAAAATTTTTAAATAAAGAAAATTCTGAAATAAAAAAATTTCTAATTATTTAAATTTGTATGTCTCATCTATGTTAAATGTTTATCTCCTTTTTAATCATTTACTCATTAAATTATAATATCATTGATAACATGTAAGAAAAAACAATCTCAGATTGAAAACACAAAAAGTTCTCATTGTTCCCTTATCTTCTTGCTAAGCTTTAAATTTTCTAGCCACAAAAGTCAAGTCTTTTCCTTTCAAACATTTTCTTTAACTAATGCTAACTTTCAGCATGACATCACTCTCATGCTTTCTTCAGAGATTTTACTATCTATGAACCATCTACATCATTGACCATATACTTCATTCAAACCTCTTCCACCCCCTTCCTGGAACACAGTTACCCCTGGAAGTGGGCACTTACACCTTTCTGCCTGGTACCCACCTAGAGTTTGGTGACAGGCGCTGCATACTGTCACGTTCTCCGCAGGCTCTGGATATAACTGAGATTATAAACCCCAGGACGAGAGTATGTTGAGCAGTTAATTCAGTTTTATTCAACATATTTTATTTGATCGAGCTTGACTTGTTTAGAAGAAACTGGAATCTGGTTTAGACTTTTTCCTCATGCTCCAGTTATTTCTACTGTCTTTCTAAAATTGGAACTTTCAGTCTATCCTTAAACTGAAAATTTATCAAATGCTACTGAATGGTCCATAAAACTCATGAGAAAAGATTTGCTCATTAGATATAAAATGTAAGAGTTTAAAAGAATATCTTATACTACACAGCATCTATTGTAAAATAGTACTGTGTACAGGAAAGACCTTTGACTATAATAAGCTGAAATCCAGTTTAAAGGAGATTTTATCACAGATCAGCCAGTATATGCCAGGAAGAGTTGTAACTGGTACCAAATGTTCCGGCAGCAAGTAACCAAAACTAATCTTCTCTAAGGTTATTGTAAAGCATACACAAACACAACAAACATTTTAAATTGCATTTTAAATCTTCATGTAGGGCAGTGTTTTTCAAATTACAATTACAGATTGTAATCTACTAGTGGGTCCAAAAGTAATTTAACCAGCCCAAACCAGCAAAGGAAGAAAGGAAGAGTGAGAGGTTAAACAGAATATGAAATGTAAGGGTGCAGCATCACAGGCAGTAAGGATAAGTATTACTTCACGAACTTTGTTTTGTATACTGTGAGTAATATAATATATACTTTAGGAGGGGTTGTGTGAAAAAAGAAAAGTTAGAATACACTGATGTGGGAGACAAACAGAAGTGGAAAAGGACAAAGCAATGAAACTGTTAACAATTACCAAATCATTGTTCTACCAAATAACAGCTTTTGTTGGTGAGGAGACTGTTTTAGAAACCTCCTTACATCTATTAAAGCCAGACATCTCTACGTGAATTATGAAGAAGCACCTTCTTGTGCAGCAGGCCTAAAACAATGCCCAGAAAAGCTCACGGTTGCCCCCACTAATGTTATCCCCCCAATTTCCAAATCAACCTTTACTTTCTACTGACTCTCAAGAACATGCAAAGTAGCAGCTCCTGAAAGATAATTACTGGTCCTTGAACAATTACTTCTAGAGGACATTAACAGTATTCCCTATCACAATTCAGAGTTTCAAATAAGGCTTTGGTATTCAGAAAAGTAACTTGGAGTATAATAGTCACATTATTCCACTAAAATGGTTGCATATAATAGTCACATAGTCCATTAAAATGGCCATGCGAACAGACTAAACACCAAAATAAAGATTTCAGAAAGAGGATATATGAAATGTTTCAAACATTCAAGGTACAATTTGGAGCCATTCAATACTGTAGTTAAAAGATAAGAGTCACTCTGAAGAGCCAGTTAATTGGAACCGCCTAAATACTGACCAACGAGCCTGCTTTTCTTCACTGGGTCTACATTAAGAGTTACTCTGAATGCTTGGTTGTTTTAACAGAGCTTTCTAATTATTTTCAAAGCCACTTAAAAAAAAACAGATGATGTATAAGGGACAGTATCATACATGATAGCTATTTTAAGGTGATAGGTATTTCTCACTATGAATCCACTACTCATGACAGCTAGTGCATATATTCAAGTTAAACCTCACTACTACTATGGAAGCACCCCTCCCCCATACTATTGTTCTCCATATAAACCCACATATGGTGGAAGAGACAGAAGAGGACAAAAACCTCAGCCGTAAAGACAATTTCCCCAGTTGTAGGGTACAGGGCTCCTTTAATCTCTGCTCACAGCTTCATGTTCTGCCTGGCTCACTACCTCTTTTTTTCTTATACTTTGAAACTTGTGGCTTGAGACATCAACCCTTGGCAAAATCACTTGCTAGTTTCATAATTTGGTCCCACATAGTTGGAAAAAGAAGTTTCAATCTTTGCCTCCTAACAATTCTTCCCTAAACACAAATTCCAAAACCATAAATCTTTGATAAGTACCTACCAGAAAGCCGTTTTGTTTACAAATACAAAAGAATGTACCGAGACAAATTATGGGGCTCATAGCCTCTTATGCCTAGGGACAAGAAGACTTTTAGTTCAAACCCTGATGACATAGGTTTTAATGAGAGAAGAGCAAAAGAACCCATTTATTTATCCAGTCTGATCAGATGTCACTAAAATTCAAGTCTGATTATAGTAGAGGATAACACTGGACACTCCTAATCACCTTAGATTAAAGGGCCTTCTCACTTTCTTCTCTCTCCTGGGCCATTACTATACCCAGAGCAGAACTGTACTCACCTTCAGGCTAGAAGAAACAACATAACAGCTTATTGATTTCTCTGGTGTACACCAAACCCACAAGTCATCAGGCAAGTAGGGATCACAGCCACCAGATGCAACTGACGAAAGTCATGCACTGGGTTTTCTGGTCACACACATAGGCACACCACTGGCAATTATCACATCAAATGTGGGCCAAACCTCGACCCTCACCAAACAAACAAACAAAAAATATACTAATCAGCTTAGGCAGCAATACATTCTGAATCACACCCAAAAACTATTTCTTGACTGTCAGTTAATTTCATAGTTCATTCCAGTCTTCATGTGTAATTTCCCGGGTTTTAAAAGTTACCATACCATTTAATCCCAGAGACAAACTGCTTTGAAAGGAGTTAATATTTGGTCATAAATTACATGTTAACCAAACTTGATCGCCACCACCATTGGTGTTGTGTTTGTGGCAAATGTCTTAGACTTTTTACAAGTAAAATTTAACCGTGGAAGGGTAGCTTCTGATTATTTCCTTCTGAAGAAATCAAAGCACCACTCAAAAAAGTCAAGGTTAACGGCGCTTTCTGAAACACCGACCACGACGTTCGATAAACTAAGAACGGTTAAGTCAGTAGTGGAACTCAAGTCTCTCATACAATGGATGTTCTTTCCAATTAATTCCTTAGCTCTTGTTCGGACCCCAATGAAATACACAGCTTAGTTCTCACGCACCGTCTTCAGCGTTCTCTTAACCTCGAAGGAATACACGGTAAATAACCCAGTCCACAGATTGGAATAAAGCAACAGTGACAACGTTAGCGGGCAATGATGGATGAAGTGACAAGTGAACCAGGAGTCGGGCAGACACGTATGCCCTAAGAGAGAAACTGAGGTGGGGCTGGAAACTATTTTCTGGCCTTCTCCCGCGTGCTGCTCCGGGGGCAGGAACAGGATCCTGCACGCCCGGGATCGGCAGAGCCTCAGCCCCCAAGTGCAGAGATGCGAGGAAAGCAGTCGGCTGTTTTTTCAGGCAGGGGGGAAGATGGGGGGCTGCTGCAGTGGGAATTTCACTGGGAGAGAACTTCCTAACCCCGAGAAAAGGTCGGGGGTTGGCAGGACCGTCCCGGCAGCGACAGGGGCGACTTCCCCTTCTTTCTCACAGCCATACACCGTTGTGTGGGTGGGTTGTGCAAGGGGCCCTTCAGCCCAGGTCTGGAAGTCCGCCGGCCACCCCACCCCGCGCTCCATCGGGGCTCCCCCCGGCCGGACACCCAAGCCCTTCTCCAACACCCCGAGGGTCTGGAGGTGGGCAAGAACACGAAAGCATCTCCGCGCGGGGCCACCCCCTCCGCTGCACCTAACCCCTCTCCGGGTCTTTGTCCCGCGGGCACCCAGGGTCTCTCCCCGGTTCTCCCGGGAAACCCCCGTCCTGGAGGCCTCGGGGCCCAGGGTCGCCCCAGCTTTGTTCGGTCAGCGGGGCGCGGAGACGCGGACACTCACCGTACACCCCGGCGAGGAAAAGCAAGACCAGCGCAGACCTCCACCGCGGAGACTCTTTTGTGCTCCAGCGACGGGCCATAACCACGGCAGATGGAGGGAGCGAGGAGATGGAGGAGGAGGAAAAAGAGGAGGAGGAGCTGGGGCCAGACGCCGCCGCCGCCGCCGCCGCCGCCGCCGCCGCCGCCGCCGCCGCCGCCGCCGAGCCCCCGGCTGCTCCCTGCGCTCTCCGCGGCGGCGGGAGGAGGAGGGGAGGGGCCGCCGCCCGCGCGCGCTCCCTCCCTCCCACCACCACTCACCGGCTCCCACCCCCGGCGGCGTGAGAGCCCTGCGCTGGGCTGCCCTCCCCGGGGCAGACAGATAAGGCGCGCGCGGGCGCGAGGCGAGGGAGCGGCTGCCGCGCGACTCTGGCCTGCCGCGGCGCAGGCTGGCTGGCGCCGCCACCCGCCAGACGGAACGCGAGCCGGCAGCCGCGCTCATCCGTGCGATCGGCAATCCCTTGGCCCTCCTGTCTTGCTTCCCTGTCCCCCACGCGCTCAGCCAGACTTCCCTGGGCTCGGAGCCGGTTTCCCCGCGACTGGAGGCGAGGAGCAAGGCAGTGCCAATCGATAGGCGAGCGCGCGAACCCCGGCCGCTAGGTTCCCCCGGGATCCCGAGCGAGGCCCGCTGCGGAGCTCCGCCGCAGTCCCGGGCCTCCGCGCTGCCCCAGCGGATGGTGTGAGGGCCAGCTCGGAGGCTGAGGAGCGCTGCGTCTGAGGGGAGAGTGGGTGATGGGAGGCTGGGAACTTGGGAGTTCCTCTTTCCTATCCCAACATTCCTCCCCACCGTAAGGGCGCGGAGCTCGGGGTAGGTGGGCGCGGGGTAGTACGGCCCATCCGGTCGCTGGTCGGCGTGGACGGCCGCCGGGGAGTTCGGGCTGCACACCACGCCCAAGGTGCCGGGGATGGGTCGGGCAAGGCTGAAGTGCACAGCGCTTCCCGTCTAGCGTGGAAACCGCGGGGAGCAGTTTGACACCGAGCGGGGAGGTGTGTGTGTTTGGGGGCGGTGGGCAGGTTGGAGCTGGTCGGTGATGCTCTGCAGGAGGCGACCTTGGAGGTGGAGAAGTGGTAGCGTTGTGGGGGTTCATTTAACATTTTCTAATTTCCACAAATACCCGGGATCCCAACAAGTGTGCCCCCCCTTCCCTTAAATCTCCGTTATACTTTCTAAATACGTTCGTAGTGACACTGGCACTTCATACCTTCGCCTTGTATTTTAAAAGTGTTTATCTGTGAGTCTTATCTCCCTTACTGGATTTAACATTGGCTTTTATTCGGACTCTCCCATTATTCATTGAAGACCTACAATGCACTGTGCTGCCTATAGACACAGGTTATCTCTAATCCCTAACACCCCTTTGAGATAAATACTATTATCCACATTTTATAGATAAGAAAATGAGTCTTCAGAGATTAAATTACTCAAAACGATGTAGCAAGTACATAATTTGAAACATTTTTTCATTCTAAATTCAAAATTGTCTCCCCAATACGCAGCATGTGCTATATAGTACAATACTTAGTGCATAGTAGGTAAGTGTTAAATTTTAAGACACGTTTTGAAGGTACATTTATGCCTTCTCTCTATCCCCTACAGACTTGTCCTCTTTAAAATTTTTCCCCCAGGAAATGGTATTCCAAAAGATTTAAAAATGTGTTAACAAATAGTAATCCAGAATTTCACAAATCTTGTATCATCTGGAAAACATCCCCCGGCCCGCGCCCCCCACCCCCCGCCAAAAAAAAAAAATCCCCTCAAAACCCAGAACTCCAGAAATGTTTTCCACTCTCGAGTAGCTTCAGTGTTCTTCATTCAACAACCTGTAGCTCCTTCCTAGTTTTAGGATTCTGGACTCGCTTCTTTCTTGAGATCTTTTCTAGAAGTGGCGCTAACATGAAGGCTGACTTTAGGACGTGCCACAAAATGAAGGGAGACTAGACTGCACCTTCTCTTCTCTTTTAGTACCACTCAAGGACCCTTGTCCTTGTGACAAGATTCCAGTTCCCTTATCAGTCCCCTGACTGATGCCTTCACGCTCCTCCCAACCCTGCACTTGCTCCTGTCACCCAGACCTGGCTTCTGGGAGTTACCAAGTTGTCAAACTCTTTAAAAACACTTAAAATTTAGGAGGTCTCAAAAGAGCCTTTTTTATGTGGGTCATAGCTGTTAGTATTTAATATTTGGAAATTAAAACAGAATTTTAAGATATTTGTAAGTTTATTTAAAATAAAAAATGCATTACAAGTTAAATCTGCTTTCCAAAACCAACAACAACAACAAAAATGTGCGAGGTGTGGCATAATTTCCATCTTTGTAAATATCCTTAATGTCTTAATAGAAAGCTGGATTCTCATGTCCTGCATCCAGTCTGTTGCAATACGTCGTTTTCATTGAAGTATGTGAAGAAACTCTAGGTTTGCTCAGAAAAATAATTGGCAAAGGGAAGATCTCCTGTATTTCTGCAGTGTCCTCAGATAAAACTTTGAGAACTGTTGATCAAGGTGTCTTTTAAAAATTTCTCACATTTAATTTATTGGGTGACATTGGTTAATAAAATTATACAGGTTTCAGGTGTGCAATTCTGTAACACATCATCTATACACTGTATTGTGTGTTCGCCATCTGAAGTCAAGTCTTCCATCACCATTTATCCTCCCCTTTACCCTCTTGTACCCAACTCAGCCCTCTTTCCCTCCGTAATCACCACACTGTTGATTTGTTTATGAATTTTTTTCAAGGTCTCTATCTTAATGCCTTCAAAACCTAAGTATTGTGTTCCTCTTTGGAAAGAATCTAATAAATATCCATTCTAATGTATTAGCTGCTGAGCAATTCAATGTTCACCAGCCAAGGATATTTATGTTTCATGAGGGAACATTTTTATTTATACAAAATCTGATTCTAATGGAATATCAGACATTGGTAGGCAACACTGTACAGATTAGGTATTCAATACTATCCTTTTTCTTATCTGATCTGTCTAGCTGAGTATCTAGATGTCTACTTCTGGGCTGATGTATCATAAAATAACTCACATGAGAAAGCACTTAGAAATCTATAAAAACTACACAAGGTGGTTAGTTTTGGTAACAGTGCTCTCGCAGTTGGCCCGCTGATTTAACTCGGCCAGTGCTCTGATCTGCACCCTACAGGGCATAAAGAATGTTACTGAGACTCAGGGGTCTCCGCCTGGGTCCCTGGATCCAAGGATGGTCTTCAAGGGGTCTCTTAAGACTCCAGAAATTATATAATTTTGTGCTCATGTATTTTTATAGGCGGAAGTTTCATTATTTTCAGCAGATTCCTGAAAGGGTGTGTCAGCCATTAAAAAAGAAAGTTTAAGAAAAATCAAATGAAGCAACTATTTGAGCTGCTTCTGAATCTTTTTTCCCAAGTGGTTCTCAAACTTCTCAAATCCATGCATTTGGGAGTGGGAAAGGACATGGATAGTTTCTTTTTACCTTGACATGTTCTGAAAGGGGCCACAATCCTCCACTGTATGGAGACATGCCCTTAGATAATCCTTTTGTTTTGATGTTAAACTTTGCTTTTCTCCTTGTTTGGTTATCACCACATATAATGGTTTAATTTTTACCTGGCCACCAACAAAAATTCCTTCCTGGTGTAGACCCTGCTTTATTTAGCAGCATGTGAGAATTTCATAAAAATTGTGAGGGTAGGCTGGGAATTTAAGTTTATCATTTTTTCCTTGGAAATAAAATTGATGATGGTGGTTTTTCTGCTTGGCAAGCTGCCAGGCAAAGCTAAATCTTTTAAGTTCCCCTTAAAGGAATATTATGTTTAAAAAAGGAAATAAACTTGATAAACACATAGAAATAACTAAAAGAGTAAGAATTTTTTTAAAAGGTTGAAGTTAAATATCTCTACAAGCAAATTGTAATTTCCACTGGAGTTGAATAATATCACCTAGCAAATGATATTCATCAATCCAGGAAACTTCTAAACCAGTTCCCTAGCACATTTATTGTGGTTATTATTTATTGTGCTCTGTGCTCTGACAGCATACCCAGAATCGTACCAAGAGTCAAAGACATAATCCAAGCTCTATATTAATAGCCTCGATTCACATAGATTTAGTTTTGCCCTCATAAACTCAACTTTTTAATTGCAAAACCCAACCGTAGAGCATGTATAAATTTATAGTACTAAAAACATCTATCTCCTAAGACATGAAACATTCACACCTACCAAGAAAGGAGAAAAGGGAAATTAACTACAGATGTTGAAATTTTTAAAGAGATACTCTGAGTGTCTTTGCTGTTGTTTAACTGCTAGGTTTCAAAGTACACATAACTGTGTTTTTAAATTTCTCCTTATGATTGAGCATATGAACTGGAGATGTTCATAGGATGGAATTTTATGTGAGCCCATCAAAAGTGAATTTGGCAAACTGTGATAGCAACTCCATGACTCTTTATAGGGTAATATTGCTAAATTTGTTTATACTTTGCCCAAGCCCAAAATGGATTTGAGGTTCTCTTGTATATTGGGCAACATAGTAGACAGTAGTTGTTAAAAGTATAGGTCTTAAGATTTTGACATAACTGAATTTGACCTACGTACTTAACCTTGGTCAAGTAACTTAACGTTTTGTACCTCATATTCCCGCCTACATAATGGGGGCTTCATTAAATTATCTGCATGGTTTAAATGAGATAATAAATGGTAATATATATCGAGGGCTTATAGTATACTATGTATTCCATCCTCAAACAATCCTATGGTGTCAATACTCTTATTAACCCACTTTTCAAATGAACAAACAGGCACAGAGAAGCTCAGTAATTTTCTCAGGATCACACAGATAGTCAAGAGTCAGTATTTAAACTCAATCAATCTGAGTCCTGAGTATGCACTCTTAATCATTCTACCATGTTGTAGGTAAAGTGCTTAATACAGTGCCAGGCATTGGATATGCACTCAGTAAATGGCAGCTGCTATTATTAAACATAAATGATACAGGCAAATACACATTTCTCTTATTCTCAAATACACATTTTAAAATAAAAAAATAATTATTTCCTGGAAATAACTGATACTACCTTGAGTTTGGTTTAGGTTCAACATAAGCTCTTTTAAATTTCTTTGTTAAAATAAAAGTCATTTTTGCCCTGACCGGTATGGCTCAGTTGCTTGGGCGTTGTTCCACAAAGAGCCAGGTCACTGGTTTGATTCCTGGTCATGGCACATGCCTGGGTTGTGGGTTCAGTCCCTGGCCGGGGAGTGTACAAGAGGAAACCAATTGTTTCTCTCTCACGTTGATGTTTCTCCCTCCCTTCCCTGCTCTCTAAAAATAAATAAACAAAATCTTTAAATAA